TACAAGACCTGTCAGCCTTTGTATCCCCTGGAAAGTAATAGAGTAGCGTCCTGGTGTCCGAACACTGGAATGAGAGAGGCTGCATGGAAAAAGGCTTTTCATGCTGGTGAGGAAATGGTGTAGAGTCACTAAGCAAAATGTGCACAATTGAAGCCAAGGCCCTCACCCTGCGTATTGTGTCTCTGTTAGAAGTGTTTAATTTAGACTGAAATCCCTAGGGGCAGGGACCATGCCCTCTTGTAGGAATGAACAGCACTGAGAATACTGCTCGTTTTCAATAAATTACAGTATTAAATAGACCTTTTCTATATGGGAAAGATTTACTAGTTATTCTAGTATAACTAACACACACCCTCTCTCTCAGTGTAGACACTTATTCCAGTATAAGAGTGGTTTATTTCAGTTCAGCTTAAATCCCTTCCCAAGTGATATAACCTAAAATGAACAAAGCCAATCTTACACTGGAATGAGGGTGTCCACACAGGGGGTTATACCAGTATAACTGTATCAGGACTGTATATAAGAACGACCAGACTGGGTCAGACCAAAGGTCCATCTAGCCCATTATCTTGTCTTCTGACAGCGACCAATGCCAGGTGCCCCAGAGGGAATGAACAGAACAGGTAATCATCAAGTGATCCATCCACTGTCATCCATTCCCAGCTTCTGGCAAACAGAGGCTAGAGACACCATCCTTGCCTATCCTGGCTAATAGCCACTGATGGACCTATCCTCCATGAATTTATCTAGCTCTTTTTTGAACCCTGTTATAGTCTTGGCCTTCACAACATCCTCAGGCAAGGAACTTACATAAACTGATGTTTGAATATCTACATTACAATACTGTGGCGGGCTATCCAAAAAAAAACAAACAAAAAACAAAAGAAAAAACACACACACACACACGGCAACTAAAACAGAATCACACTTCTTTGAGATTTTTATGAGTCTTATTTTATCTAGCTACAAAATAATTATAGCTATTAAGTAACTAGGATCCTAACCAAAGGCCCAGTTCTCACCCTCCAAGTGTAGAACTCACACAGTCACTTACTCCATGATCTGATACTCTCTCCACTATGTGGGTGTTTTGGCCATATGTGTGGACTCAATGCACGCCCCGCCCTCCACAATTCCCAAAGTTTCTCCTGCACTAGCGCGGAGCTGCTGTGGAAGAAAGCTCTGCAGAGTGCAAACAATGAGTAATGTAGTTCCCTTGTGCAGCTTTTGTATGGCTCCCCCATTCCACTCTGGGAACAGAACCATGTTAGTTCCATTAGTTCTCTGGTCTTCTTCGCTCACACCAGGAGGGGAAAGTGTACCCTAAAGGGCAATGTACCTCCATGCAAAAAGGAAAGAAGTTTACACTGGCGGTTCTCAACTAGGGGTCCGGGACAACCTGGGGGGCCACAAGCAGGTTTCTGGGGTGCCACCAAGCAGAGCTGGCATTAGACTTGCTGGGGCCCAGGGCAGCAAGTCAAAGCCCCATCAAATGCGGCTGAAGCACAGGGCCCAATACCCTGCCACCCGGAACTGAAGCCTGCACAACTTAGCTTCACGGGGCACCCTGTGGCATGGGGCCCAGGCAATCGCCCTGCTTGCTACCCCCTAATGCTAGCCCTGGCTTTTATATGCAGAAAAATAGTTGTTGGCGCACAGGTGGGCTGTAGAATTTTTATAGCAGGTTGCGGGGGGGGGGGGGGGGTGTCTCAGAAAGAAAAAGGTTGAGAACCCCTGGTTTACACTACAGGGGGTCAACAGGGGGACATAAAACCAGACAAGAGACTCAACAGTGACTAGTCAATGGGAACTGGGGGCAAATAGGTGAGCAAATCCCACCAAGAAAAGGCAACTTGGAGGGTCTTGTTGTGTGGCATTTACCTTTCTTGTTCCAACCACTGTGATATGGAGATACCGCTAGTTCTTGTCTTTCAGAAAGGGACATGAAAAGGATTTTATACATGATACTGTCACAAGGAACTGCATGCTTAGAAAGAGAATCAAGCATCCTTACCCTTGTTCTGTCCTCAATTTCATAGATGCGAAGCTGCATGGGAACATTAAAGCTATGCAGGATATTTCCACCAAACACGAGAGAATCTACTGGAGTATAAACTGCATGTATCCATCCTAAAGAGGAAAAGCAAAGAACTGAGAATGCCTCATGCTATGTAGGATCACAAATGACTTTACAATCAATCACAAATTCTCATAGACCACCAGGGGGAATACAAATATTATTAGTCCCATTCTACAGACAGAGAAACTGAGGCACTGAGAGATTAAATGACTTGCTCAAGGTCACACTTCAAGACTGTTGTAATAGCAAGACAGTGTTTGTATGTGTGTATAGTATAACAACTCTAGAGACTGAATTCCTCTATTTAGCCACAGAACAGAGACAACATGGGTGGAAGCTAAGCAAGCTTCCCTTATGCTGCTGCAACAATGTGAGTCAACCACAACCCATAGATGAGAATGAAGTTCACTCTCCATAGCCCATTCGGCTCTTAGTCTCTCTTCTGACATCACCAAACAGGGGCACAAATCATGTTAACAGTGGTGGCAGATCTGTGATGTGCAGATGGATTGAGACACACCAAACTTATATCACACAAGCCCCCAAACAGCCATCAGACAGTAGCAACTTCAGGTCACTACCAGCCATCCTGTAGAGATGAAAGCTCCATATCCCATTACCAATTCTTCGAAACAACTGAAAATCTTTTTACTTGGCAAGTCCTTAGTGTTTCTCCCACTACAGCTGATGAGATTGCTAACAACTCAGTCGTGCAAGGAAAGTTCCCTTAATTGACTCCAAAGGGAGGAGAGGATGCTCACCATCCAATCAGATCAAGCCATAGCAGTTCAGGCAGCTGGCTTCTCTGCATTCCTTCCTCTGCACTGTTTGCCTGTCACGTGATTAGCTGACGCATGGGATACACAGGACTCTAGACTCTGATCTCAGCAGTGACAAAGGAATTGATCCTACTAATGATCTGGGACCCCAGGAATTTGTAACATTAATTCTTGTTTTAAATCAAAAGCATTTCAATTAATAAACCAGAAAGCAGGGGCATAAGGGGCTGTCAATTTCTTCCAAACTGTGCACTGCTTCCCATTAAAGCTGGGGAGGTTTTCATTCGTCTCAGGATCAGCGAGGCAGCAGGAAAATGCAACCTGGGCCTACAGGGTGAACTCTCCAGCCACAAGGCACAAAAGCATTTCCCCTGGTAGAGCTTGCAGACCTGCTGGGTTATGCTTCGGAAGCCCTTGAATCATCATATATGACAGGACACTGGCTCACAGTGCTTTCACTGAGAAGCATTCAGTAGTTGAGGGACCGAGAAAAAACTCAAGTTAAAATTTTCTCTCCGGGAACACAAAGCCTGGTTCTTGATACCTTTTTCTGACTTTCCGAATCTAATTCCACATGATGAATCTAATGAAGCGAAAATTACAGGTGCCCAATGGCAACTCTGGGTTATTATTGCATCTTTCTTACAATAGGTATAGTAAATTCCATCACTGACTCACTCACAATCAACAAGGAAGTTTGTCACTCCAAATCAGTCTAGCTTCTTTCCTTCCTCACAGGGCAACTACTACAAGAAATAATACCCTAGTCTGGGATATGCATATATAAAAAACTGCTGAGTAAGTAGGGTAACCTAGCAATCAGAGCAATAGATTGGGAAACAGGACTCCTGTGTTCTGTTCACTGCTCACCCACAGGCTCTGTGTACACTTGGGAAGTCACCTAACTTCTCTGTGCTTCACTTTCCCCACCTGGAAAAGAGGGACAACACTTATAAACTGGCTTGGATGAAAGCTGCAATTGATAGTGCCCACAAAATTTATAAAACGACAACTGAGTAAAGAAGATTTTGACACCTCTAATGGTCTTTTGCAGCACGACTATAAAGCCTCTTCACAAGCAGATCAGTGCACCATATCACATTAAATATATCACTTAAACATATAAATGTAATTTAAAAGCTTTCCATAGCCATATGGAGGTGTGAGAAAGAGAGGGATCCTAAATAAAGTTATGGAGCTTGGAGTTAATTGCTTTTACCAGATGATCAAAGATTCAAAGATTCACATGACATAAGGGAAAGGGTTGGGACTGTGCGTAAAAAATTAAGCTGCTACCAAGTCTCAGAAACTGACATGTTGGGTAGAATGGGGTAGTATCTGGCAACTCAGGGTCAACCTACTCTGATGAGGTAGGTATAATTATTTCCATTTTATAGATAGGGAAACTGAGGCTCAAAAAGATCACAGTGAAGCAGTGTCAGAGATGGGAATAGAAGCCATGAGTCCTGACTCCCAGTCCTCTGATCTAACCATTAGAATCTTAGAATATCAGGGTTGGAAGGGACCTCAGGAGGTCATCTAGTCCAACCCCCTGCTCAAAGCAGGACCCATCCCCCAATTAATCATCCCAGCCAGGGCTTTGTTAGGCAACACTCCTCTCTTCACAATACATCGCAACACACTGAACTGTACACACTGGATTTGATTGCTTTATTAAGGAATTTTATAGTGCTGTCAATTGTTCTAGGTTATTTAAAAAATCTGTTGTCAGAGATTTACGACTGTAATGTAAAAATTCACTGAGCTGAAAAAACTGTTACTAACCTTTCCATAACTGTTGTTCTTCAAGATGCGCTGCACATGTGCCTTCCACTGTGGGTGTTTGCACACTCCAGTCCACAGTTGTCAGAGAATTTTCACCCTCAGCAGCATCCGACGGAGCAGCCTGAGCATGCCCTCTGCTGTCTCATGCTTATCACACAAGCATAAAGGGTCAAGCCAACCCAGACACACCCCGCCCCCCTCCGGAGTTCCTTCCTACTGGAATTACTCCAATAGCAATGGGAAGGAGGGTGCATCATGTTTTGCATGTGCAAAACATCTAAAAGAACAGCAGTTACAGAAAGGTCAGTGATCATTTCTTCTTCTGCGAGTGACTGCACATGTCCATTCTACTGTAGGTGACTCACAAGCAATTTTATTTGGAGGCAGTATTGGAATCTATTTGAACAAGGACTGGAAGACCACTTGTCCAAATTCAGAATCATCGGATTGTTGAGAAACTGCATAGTGCGAGGTAAACGTGTGACATGCGGACCAGGTTACTGCTTTGCAACTGTCTCATACACATGAGCCAGGCCACTTGGGCTCTAATTGAATGACCTAATATTCTATCTAACGGCTCCACAGTAGCCAAGCGGTAACATGAGCAAATACAACTGGACATCCACGCTAAAATCCTCCGTGTAGAAATTAGGCTGCCGTTCATGCTGTCCACAAATGCAATAACAACTGAAATGAAGATCTGAAAGGTTTAGTCTGTTCCACATAAAACACTGATGCTCTTCCAACATCTAGAGTCTGCAATAGCTCTTCTCCCTTGTTACCATGAGTCTTTGGAAGGAAGGTCGGTAAGTAAATTACTTGGATAATATGAAAAGAGGAGACCACTTTTGTAAGGAACCTTGGATGGGCACAAAGGTAAACTTTATCTACATAAAAAAAGTATACAGAGGATGTGATACTAATGCCCTCAACTCCCCTACTCTCCTGGCCAATGTAATGGCTATTAAAAATGCTACCTTCATTGAAAGGTGTAACAGACAGCAAGTCACTACAGGGTTGAAGGGAGGATCCATCAGCACAGTTAAGACTAAATTCAGGCTCCATGGTGGAATAAGACTCTGTATGTGTGCGAACACCTTGTCCAAGCCCTTTAAAAACCTTACAACCATTGGACTGGAAAAAAGGAAGTGTTTATCCACAGGAGGGTGAAATGCCGACATAGCTACTAAGTGTACCCTAACTAAGCTAATCACTAATCCTTGATGTTTCAGGTACCAAAATAGTCCAGCATATGCTGAATAGAACCAAGACAGGGGAGACACCTTTCAGCCTTGACCAGACAGAAAACCTTTTCCACTTAGCGAGGTAAGCTGTCCTCATTGATGGTTTTCTACTATTCAGCAGTACCTCCTGCACCTCTCTGGAGCAGGACTCCTCCACCAATGTTATCCATGAAGTCTCCAGGCCGACTGGTGAAGAACCTTAAGGTTGGGGTGGAAGAGGTGGCTGCGATTTTGTGAAACTAAGTCTGCGTGAAGCAGGAGCAATGGGGGACTGATTGATAGGTCTGAGAACTGAGAAAAACGGTGCTCATGAGGCCAAGCTGGGGCAATCCCTATAAGATTTTCCTTGTTCTGTTTAGCCTTGCACAGAACTCTGAGCAGAAGAGCTATGCAGGGGAAGAGTGTACAGAGACCCGCTGACTATGGCGGTAAAAAAGCATCCATCAGCAAACCTGGGCTATGACCTGCTCTGGAGCAGAACTGGTGTCATTTTTTGTTGTCCTTTGTGGCAAACAGATCCACTTAAGATGTTCCCCAGAGCTCGAAAATGGACCTTGCTATGTCTGGGTGAAGGGACCACTAATGATGGTTGATAAACAACTTCTTTATACAATCTGCCTGTGTATCCTGAGCCCCCGGGAGCTGGGCCATCATCAGCAGTATAGAGTTACCGATGTACAACTCCCAGAGCAAGACTGCTTCCCAACAGAGTAGTGAGGACTAGGCTCCTCCCTGCTTGTTTACATAAAACATGGCTGTTGTATTGTCAGTCAGCATCAATACGTCCCTCATCCTGATGCAAGGAAGGAATGCCATGCAAGCTACACTGACAGTCCGCAGCTCCCTGATGTTTATGTGCAGACTGCGATCTTAGGGAGACCAGAGACTTGGTGTCTGCAGGTGTCCTACATAAGCACCCCATCCCAGATCCGAGGCATCTGTGACTAAGATAAGCACGTTCACCCCACCTTAGCACAACTCCCCCACATGCACTGGTTGGGTCTAACCACCAAATCTTGGGAAGGTAAGATGCAATTTTGTATGTGCACTAACATACCTACATGGTGCCTTCTTGGAGAATGTATCTCTGCCACCAAGCCCTAAAGGGATCTGAAGCACTGTCTGGAGTAATGGACCACGTAAGCGCACACGGCCAAGTGCCCCAGAAGTCTTACCATGGAGAGAGGATAAGCCTTCAAGTCCAGAAAGAGGCTTTGCAGTGCAAGAAACCTCATCTGTGGTAGCAAAGCCCTGGCCATTGTGGAGTCCAGGACCACTCCAATAAATTTTATTTTCAGTATCAGAGACAGGACTGACTTGTCTGTGTTGATTAACAGCCTGAGCATGTTGAAGGTGGACCAGATTATGCAGACACTGGACACCACCTGCAACCTGGACCAACTTCTTATCAGCCAGTCATCCAGGTAAGGGCACACACAACAGCCCCCCCCATCTCCAGAGGAAAGCTGCTACCACCACCATATGGTCTGTAAATAAAAGAGGAGCAACTGAGAAACCAAAGAGGTTGGGCTGTGAACTGATAATGGCAGCCCCAGATGGTGAAACTTAGAAATGTTCTGTGGCCCTGATAAATTGCCACATGAATGTAGGCATCCTTTAAGTTGAGAGCAGCATACCTGTCCCGTCTCCAGGAAATAAGAGAAGCTAAAGTGACCATCCAGAATTTCCATATTTTTAATAACTGCCTTATATCTAAAATAGGCCAAAGACCCCCTTTTGCCTTCAGGATCAGGAAGTATTGGGAGTAAAACCCCTTTTTCCTGAAAACAGAAGGGATCTCCTCTATAGCACCTACAAAAACAAGCGATTGTACCTCTTGCAGTAATGCTTTCTTGTGAGAGAGGTCCCTGAAGAGGGAAAGAGGACAGAAATCTGGGGTAGAAATAAAAGGAAGCGAATATCCCACTTCCACCGTGCTTAGATTCCACCCATCTGTTGTGATGTAGGTCCAAGCGTGATAGAAATAGGACAAACCGTTTGCAAAAATTAGAACAGAAAAGGATGGCACTCTCAGAACAGGTAGACTGCTCTTGACCTACCTATCAAAATGAGCTGTTGGAAGAAGCCGCCTGCCTCTGCAAACACCAGTGGTTGCAGAAACAGAGGGAAGTGGTGGTGGAGATCACCATTTGTAACCTCTGCTCCTTTTCTTGGATAGGTCTTGGGCTCAAGAAATAAATCCCTGAAAACACTGACACTGATGAAGACAGAATCCCTTCCACAGAGGGATTTCAGGCTCATTCTACAATCCTGAAACTATGCAGAGTCTCGTCCATCTTTTCTGAAAAGAGCAATGACCCCTCAAAGGATAAGTCCTGCACTGGCTCTAGCAGCTCTGGAGGGAGGCCAGAAGAGTCCAACCAAAATGAGCACCTCATTGTGACGGCAGAGGCCATGCTGTACTCTGCAGAATCTGCTTCATCAAGACATGCCACCAGAGCTGTTCTGGCAACCATTTTGTCCTCCACTATCAAAGTGAGGAACTGAGGCTCCCAGATGAGGTGAAGCAAGTCTTTAAATTTCAAAAGCATATCCCACAGGGTGAAATTATAGTGTCCCAGCAAAGCTTGTTGGTTTGCAATGTGAAGCACAAACCACCTGTGGAATACAACTTCCTCCCAAATAAGTCTAGCTTCTTGTCCTCTTTATTCTTTGGGGTTGAAGCCTGGTGCCCATGTCGCTCCTATGAGCCCATCTTTCCTTTTCCTTGGCAGCTGCCACTACAAGGAAGCATAGAGGAGGGGGATTATATACATGCTTGAACCCGTGGGAGTGGACATAGCATCTTCTCTCCAGATTTAAACAGCCATTTTAGCAGTCAGAGGCAGGGAAGCTGGGCTCTGCCAAAGGATATAGGTAGGCTCTAAAAAAGCCTAATTTATTGGAAGAGCTATTCTAGTTGGGGCACAATGGAATGTCCACCAGCTTGTGGGATTTTTCCTGGACCTCCTCCAGGTGAATATCAAGAGCCATAGCCATCCTCTTTATCAGCACCTGATGAGTCTTAACATTGTCCAGAAGTGGAGAAACAGGCTCCACCACAATTGCCTTATCAGGAGATGAGGAAGAGGATGCTAACAATACTGGGGGCTGGTCCAGTTTCTAGCTCACTTGCAACTGCTGTGCAAGGGATCCCTTGGCACTGGTCTCAGTACCAACACTATCGTGCTTGTGGCAATGATGCTCCTGATGCTCAGCAGATTGAGCCGGCTTAGATGGCTGCAGAGATTTTGACTGGAGGGTGGGAACCCCATGGGTTCCAAAAGGCTCACTGGTACAGCTGTAAGCTCCTGTTAATCCTTGATAATCAAGGTCATACACATTGTAAGGAGAGTGATCACTTTAGATAAGCTATTACCAGCAGGAGAGTAGGGTGGGGGGAGAGAAAACCTTTTGTAGTGATAAACACCCATTTTTTCATGATTTGTGTGTATATAAACAAACATCTTCTGTATTTTCCACAGTATGCATCCGATGAAGTGAGCTGTAGCTCACAAAAGCTTATGCTCAAATAAATTGGTTAGTCTCTAAGGTGCCACAAGTACTCCTTTTCTTTTTGCGAATACAGACTAACACGGCTGTTACTCTGAAACCTCTCCAACAATTGTATACTGGAGCACACAAACACCTACACTCAAAGAAGAACTTGGCTTTAGAAGCAACAGCAAGTGGAGGTGGAGGAAGAGAAAGAGAAAGAAACTATTGCTTTTGGTTCTTTCGTTTTACAGAGAATGCAAAAAAATATCAACACAGGACTTAGACCTTAAAATATATTTTTTTAATTCCACCATACAATATCAAAAGTGGCCTAGGTTGCTCAGATTATGTTCTCTCGGGGGAAATCATACTTGAGATTGCTACTGCTTTCATTATTTCTTCCCCCATGGATTTTAGTCTCATCATATCTCCCCAGACCTCTCAGTCTCAGCCTCACAAGCCCCAATAGATACTAAGGGGTCTTGTGTTAATGATCCCCAAACTCACTAGTAGTCGCCCCTGATGTGATCAGTGACTGTTCCTCTGGAGCTGTTACCTAACCATCAGGTCAATGCTCCAGTGAACAGTGCCTCAGACACAATAAATCCTTAACAGAAATATTACTGACAAGGGAGTAAATAATGCCCATTTTTGAGCCTGTCATTGAGAAAGAGCCAGTAAAGAGGGCAACAGAGAATCTGAAGATCAATTTTCAGAGGAAGCCTCTACTTTTGTGGGTAATATGCTTAAGTCCCTGCTTAAGGCCACAAATCAAGTAGTTACTTATCTTACTATAGTATCTGTGCCTGTAGTTGTTAGAAGCAAAACTGGTCCAGCTAAGGCCTTCTCGGAATATCTGGGCCCAAAACTCAGAGGCCAGGCTGAAAATCAGCCCCTTTAAATACACATTTTTAATAAAACAAACAAGAAATGACAGTAGTGCTGTTAACAGACTCATACCCAGTAATGAGACATTGAAATAACAGCATTAAACCCACTAAAGTCAGAAAAGAACTTCAGAGGGCAGGGTACACTCAGATCTGCTGACAAAGCACAACAGAACCGTAGGGGCAGAATGTCCTTCAGGCACATTACAGGGGGTGCAGAGGGCCAATCCAGCCACTGGAGACCAGGAAGTCAACCAGAACTTTCTGTGGGCTCCCAGGCAGTGCAAACCAGTGCAGCAGCTTCGCCTTTCTTGGAAAGCACACAGCACTTTCTTCTCTCTGCACTCAGCTATCTCCGCTGGCTGGTGAGGAAGGGGACCAATCCCAGGTCCATGCTCTTTTTTTGGACTTCCTATCCCTTTTACATAATTAACACTCACAGGGAGACCTAAGAGGAAGCAGGGACTATGCTCTCCCAGGGGATTCAAGCCAGCACCTGCAAGAGGAAGCAAGAAAGAGGAGAAGATGCTTGTGCTCTTCTTTTCCTTGCACAGTCATGCGGGGTCCAGCAGAATCTGACTCCAATGTTGTACAACCACTTTCAGACACACGATATCCTAAAATACTTCAGGCCTGCTTGATGAATGCAGAGTTGATAATAGAAAGATACCGACACTAGGAGATGTATACAAGAGAG